ATTCTATCTTACAGACTGAGCAGCAACTGCGATGTTACCTGCTCTCAAGGAACTTACATGACTGGCTATTGGGTCATGAACTGAGGGTTTATAATATTTTCTGGCGTTTCCAGAATTGAGATGGGTTTCAATAATTGAACTCATTCCCTCTATGTTTGCTGTGCTACCAGTTGGCTAGATATTGTGATACGAGTTTTTTAATGTATTGAAGATTGTTAACTGTCATCTACTTCGCGTTAAATTTTGGGACTCCGCCACTAATCAAGTGTATACATCTTATCTGAAGTGTGCCATATTGCATTTTCTGGTGCATTACAGAAAAGCTCAATGCTAATAATCTTCTCAGATCCTTACTTGCCTCTGTATTTAAAACAGACTGAAGGAAACTTTTGAAATTTACATTGCTGTCAAATCTTTAGTGATTGAGGAGACCTTATCCTAAAACTGAAATACCTATTTCTTTGGTAGAAAACTTTCTTCCCTCTATACAAAAAGAAGACTTTAACTTCTCGTAGCAGCAGCCTTTTAGGGAAATATTTAATGAAGTAATGAATGTCAAAGCACATATAACATAAATAACACCAGCATAAGATGAAAATGGTTGCAATAGCAGCCAACACAACTAGCTGTGTCTCTTCACAATCTAGAAACCAGATGATTGACTTATTGACATACCCTTACTCTGGTCCCTGTATGATGTAGAGAGACTTTATTTTCTTGTACCCTTGATTTTCCCCCAATCTTTGAAGAACTTCCATTTTGTATGGCCACATGGTCTAGTATATAGTTGTTAATCCTGAGAAGAAAATAGAATGCAAACAAGCATCCTTGTTATGAAATATAGATTGAGGATAAATACCCTTAGAGGCGACAGGATGTATTTCTTCCATGGAATCCATCCAAATCAACATGCTTGTGGGTAAGAACATTAGAGACGAACATCAAATTCGACAGATTAAAAATTACTACATAATACATTGGAAATTTGGTTGGTCCAAAAAACTCATGTTTTTATTTTATTTTCTTATTTTGGTTTTTATAAATTGTGCAAACCAGATGATAAGAGTTCGTTTTGCATGCCAACTTAAAGTATGTGCATGCATGTATTGAACACTTACAGAGATGAATTCTCATTTCGAAAATCTGATGAGCAAGAACCGTTATTTTCTGCTGTAGTGAATTGAGGCTTTGAGTCTTCTATAGCAGTACTTGGTGATATGAGCAGCATTGCTCCATTACCAATCTCATCTGGAGGAATACTTTTGCTCTTTTGGTAGATTAGAATCTCTTCTTCATTTGCAAATGTATTGGCAAACTCTGGTTCTTGTAGCATGTGGTAAAGTTGCCTATGAAGTCTTTCGACAGGTGACAAAATATATTGTTTAAGCTTTGATCTCTTTCTTTTCGGAACACTGTTAGGATTCCAGAGAGGACCTTTGGCTGCTTCTCCTAACAAAAGGTGAACAATAACAATCAAACATCAATGATATTTTCATAATTGGAAGTCCAAAATTACATTAGATTTTTGACAATATTAATCTATCAAATCAAAGAAAGTTTGAAGCAATGAGAAGTAATAACAAAAACACATATTGATAGTTTATAAAGCAATGTTTAACGATTGCACTTCTATTGCTTATTAAGAGCCCTAATGTGATTGAACATTTCATTTGACCATAGATATTTAAAAATCACAGTAAGGGTTAATAATACATCTTCCTGCATAATATAAATTGTGTCAGCCAGAGTGAACTTGATTCTTTAAAACAAAAAGTGTATATAGAATTGGACTGAATCAATTTAACCGGATCGGTTGAACTCTAAAACTTGTTTATCTGGTATTTCTGTTTACTTGTTTAACTGTACAAACCTATCTGAGATTTAGACTATATGTTTGTATATTCTGAATAAAATAAGATCTGTTTTGATTATACATAGTCGTACAATTTGGTTCAGTTAACATACGCCTGATAATGAAGATAAGATTTGGATGTTGTGTCTTAGGCCTGCAACCATGTGGTCCTAAAGTCAAGAGTGACTGATAATATGATTTTCTAGGCCAAAGTGTGATGAATGTCATAGTTGTAAGACATCTAATTTAGCTCTGAAGGGATTTGACAAGCCGATTTCTGTTGCCAAAGTGTTTTGCCTTCTCTGTCTTTAGCGTTTAACATCAGCATAGTATCGATGAAGCGAAACATCTAAATTTCACTTCTCCTATTGGAAGTGCAGTTACTTCTTATCCTCTCTTCATAGTATGATACCTAATCAGTTGCCATGCTCTTCCGTCCTTTGGCACTTTAAACTCTAAAGCTAATCTTTATAGTTGAAAAGAGTATGACAAAGTGAAACTTGAGAGAATGTATCATTTAGCCTTATAGTCTACTATTCAACTTTGCTACTGGTTCCATAGCAAATAACCTATTGAACTGTAAGAGGCTGGTCTGCTTCACAGCACATTCATAAGGTGGGGAACCATTTCTACTTGCTGCACAACCCTAAAATTTGCATAACACTGGGTAAGTTTATGAAGTAATTCTTAACAGAGGGTGACCATGAGACCCCATGTTCCCTTTTGCACGCAGTGAAATATCTGACTTGTCCTATAAGGATATCAGTTCAGTTTGTTGGAGCGTCTCTGCTTAGTTACAGGAAAGCATAAGTACTTATCCTTAGGCTGACAGTTCAAAATTCTCCCATCATGAGTGCCAGGAAGTTACATATATGACTCCCCACTTTGTCAAAAGTTACATATTAAGAGTCTCTGTCCTTTCTTAAAGGTTAATGCTAATAATGAGTGGAAGCAAGAACGAAAAGAAAAACAGGGAGAAGAAGGGAAAAGAAAGACTGTTTACACTAGTGTTTCCTGAACAATCTATAAGAACACACATAGGGATTAATTAATCAAACGGATGACTATTAAATTCCATGTGTTATCTAAGGAGAAGGTAAACATAAAAATTGGCCACAAGTTTAAGCAGCACACTGTGAAAGTAAAGGGAGTTATTTTAAGTTTAATTGGCCAAACATCAACGAGAACTGTTGGTATAAAGTATATAGTAGGAGTAAACTTTTGTATTTTATGTACTCACGGGAATCCTAAAATTTAAATGACCAGTTGGAGATTGGTAGCTTGCCAATGGAAGCTTCTATTCCCACTGTCACTGCTGTTGGGTCTGAGATTCTTTCCCTTCTTCTCTATTTTATTTTAAGTTTTGTGCGTGTATGTATATNGGGGGTTAGCGGGGTTGAAGACCAAAAACTGCAGGGATCATCAAGGTGCTTCTCGAAAATTTAGCTTTCCTGATTTCACATATCCCAAAATTTTCCTTAAGCTATACTATGAAAACAAGTGGCCGCAAAATGAATAGGGAGCGATTATCTGGGCAAACAAATGGAAGACAACTGACCAGATTGAATGGGGAGTAATTATCTTCGTACATTTTACTTAAACCCTTCAGTTTATGTCTGGGCACGATTCAAAGCATGCTTGTTAATTAGATAAAGAAGTCAAGTGCCATGAACATATAACTAACTATTTTACCACTTGTATAGAAATACAACTGAATTATTTTACCATTTGTTCCTTGCATCTGCATGCAGTTCTCTGAGAGTGATCCTGGTGACCCTGAGCTTGATATGTCATCTATTTCCTCTTCACTACAAGCAGAAGAGCCATCAGTTCCAGCAACCTTTTGTCCAACTTCTAGCCTTTGGTTATCATGAGCCAAGACAAGCGGCTTCACATCAGAAGGTAACTTGGCCAGTAGAAAGCTTTGAGTTTCTTTGTTGGCGTGTTTTGGGATATAGTCGTTCAGACTCCCCTTAATCCTCCATCTTGATCCACAAGCATTGCACAGCACTGGCTTTTCAGGTGGTCCAGGTCTCCAAAGTGGAGTATCTGTTTAAGTTCACAGTTCATCAGCGCTGAAACTATGAAACAACTATAAAGGAATTCTCTACAGCTGATAAAGTTGTCCCAGAAACTGCTCAAGCATAGAATAATTGAAAACAACTATGAACATAGAGCAATAAATCAGAAGTATTATGAAACTAAAGCTACAGCGATTTTTTGGCAAAACCAGTGGAAAGCGCATCCATGTAAGATATGCCTCGACTTTTAAGAATATGTAAAAGAAAGTTTGTCCTTTGCATTTTCTTCACCAGTTAAAGGACCCATACAAATTGAGGTAAACGGTGGTCGACAAATGATTAAATGAATATGAATCATGAAGTAAAATGAGTAAAGACAATAGGTCTTGTTCAAATCAGGAAACATCAGAGATTTGCACTGTAAAAAAGCTCATGGATTGACGCTTCACGGCCGTCATAGACTGTCCACTTTGTCCTAATTAACTGTGAAGATATATTTTTCAGACTGCTGGCTTTGTCCTAATTAACTGTGAAGATAGGATGCCTTACACTCATCATAAACAGACTCGCAGATTGAGGCTTCATAGCCTTCTTGTCCATCAAATACTGTATCCAAACAAGCATGATGACATACCCTTCTTCTACATAAGTGTTAGAGATATTCGTAGAATCTTGGACTAACTTTGGAGGGAGAGCAAGAAAAGATCGCTATGCAATTTGGATATCACAAATTATCGAGAAAGACTATACTTGTTTGAAGTATTTTATTGGCTTTATGTATTCCTCTTCCTTACATAATGGTGGCAATCTCTATTTCTATTACGAATCTGTTGCTTTATATGTGTTACTAGTTATGCGTTTGCTTCAGGAGGCCAGTATTTTGACTGCACTCGATATCGAGAACACAGGCGTTATAGTGGGTAATTCTCACTTTTCATTTTAAATTTTTCCCTCTTGGCCATCCAACTTATGTCACTAGAGATTCTAGTCTACTGCCTTGGTTTAGTTCGTGTCATATAACATGGCTTTCTGAAAATGCTTAGTGTCAAATCATTCATTGGCTAATCAAATTTGGCTGCTCAAAGAGATTTTAAGGAAGAGCTATGGAACCAGTTTTGCAACTGCATTTTACTGCCTAATATTTCTTAGGATTTTGTGTATAAAGCATGAAACAAGCTGTCAATACATATTGACTTTAGTTTAATGCTTTCTTAGTGTATGGCAAAGCTACTGGCGAGGTGGTACTTTGATTTCATCTCTTACCTCTAATGATACAAGTTCTTATGATTTCACTTCCTGCAGGATTCCTAAGGGATACATACCTATCAGGAGACCACATGTTCAAAGGTAATAAAACAATGTAATCAATGTCAATCTGGTATCAGTTGGTCCCTTTCCATCCTTTTCTTTTTTGGGAAAAATAATATATTTCCAGATATATGCCTAGGTCTTGTTAATCGAAACACTGAACAAAGACTTATTCCTGTAAGAACATCAAAAGCTGGTTAAAATGCCGATGCACTCTCCAACCATGATCAGCGAACATTTGGTAATTACACTTTATACTTCACACTTCTTATACTGTGGTCTTTGAGTTTTAAATATTGACTGAGGGCATTATTGTAAAGTTATATGTCAATAAACAATAGCATGAAAATCGCATGTGCACATTCAGTACTTTCTCCTCTGTGTCTGTGGCACTCTCATTTCATTTTCTGTTAGGCAAAACCCCGGAAACTGCTACAATTAAGACTTAAGGATCATTGCCAAAAGTTTAAATAAATGGGAATAAATAGTGTGATGCATATGATTGGGGACCGACTGTGCAATTATCCTATATGAATTCACTGCACGTGAAACTAATGGTTGCTGTATCTGAAATCAACTGCTATTTGAGTGGAGAGGTAACAAAGTTAAAGAAGTTCCATTTTATTCATCCAAACAGATAAATCGTTTTAGGAAATTCTAAATATCGGGTGTCATGCATGCAAGTTTTAAATTCCAGTAAGATCAGAGAGAAAAATTAAGCATTTGAAATTCTGTATCTTGACGATTGATATCAACAAGAAACATTCAATTGAAGAACGAGATGGAAGATAAACATGCAAGATGTGATAAAGGTTGTCAAAAGAACTCACGCCTGACACCACAATGGAAACACGGCCCTTCTCTTCCCATGAGATGTGCTTGCAGAGGATTCAGGTTTGACTATGCTGTTGCTAACCGTTAAGCTTCCAAAATTGTTGCCAGAATTTAAAACATATGAGTGAGAACACAAAGTAACCAAATGGAAAAAGGAACTGAAAATAAATTCAGTAGGCTAACAGCTGATCGTTTCCGTGGCAATAGATTATAGCTTTGTCATTAACTACTATCCTATTTGCAATAGTACCATACTCCACTTTGGACAGCTCATCAAATTTTACTCGAGAACATTTTCTCAAAAATTGACACGATAACTCCAACAGGAAGAACTTAAAAGCTCTTAGATGTGGTAAATCTTACCAATTAGGCCTTTTGTCAAGCACTCAAGCCTTATTACCGATGAATCTGAAGGCAAGAAACTATAGAAAGTTTTTAGACTTTATTTAAATGATAGAGTTGAGCAAATAACAGAGGCGAAAAGACAATGCTGATCTTAGTATTCTGGAAATTCTGGTCTGATTGAGATTTGAAAAATCCAAGGAGAAAGGGCCACAAATTACATTACTAAACAGATTCAGAAAAGAAAGAATGTATTCAATTTCATTCCAATTCTGGAAATTGTAGGAATCAGATTTAGATTTGAAAAATCCAAGGAGAAAGGCTCACTATTACATCACTTAGCAGATTCGGAAATGCATTCTGTTTCTTTCCAATTCTGCATTTCTGCACTGTTTCCCCTGCACCAATACACAGGTTGAAAAACCTTTCTGCCTAGTTTTGTGATTGGTCTGGTTGAGAGTACTGCAGGTGGATACAGGTCACAGAGACTTAGATATACATTCATATTTGGTAACGAAACCTCATTTCTTGAAGCACATTCAGAAAACATAAATATAAGCACTGAGTTGGTTTTTTCCGTGTTAATTTTCAGAAAATTTAATTGCTGATACTGTTGGGTCATGTTTGGGATTCGATTGTCTATTTTCGTCTTCTTGAGCTGAGGGTCTCTCGGAAACAACCTCTCTACCTCTCCAGGGTAGGGGTAAGGTCTGCGTACATTCTACCCTACCCAGACCCCACTTGTGGGATTTTACTGGGTTGTTGTTGTTGGGTCATGTTCACTCAGCTATCTGCAGTTTGCAAATGCTTGTGTCTTAGGGACTTCCTGAACTTGAAGGTTCTCTCTTCTGCTTGGCATTTTTGTTGTTAATTTAAGAGGAACTTACTACAACTTCTGATGTCCCAAGAAGTGCTTCTGCAATCTTTTTCCGTAACGCGATATCAGTGGCGGAGCCACCTTACAGGAAGGGGTGTCAAATGACACCCCTTCGCGGGAAAAATTCACCGTGTAGCTAGGTAAAAAAATAATTATATGTATATGTACTATGTATTGACTCCCCTTAATGTTTTGGTATGCTTACTTTTATATATTTTGACACCCCTTAACGAAAATTCTGGCTCCGCCACTGCGCGATATGACTCATCTGCGCAAGAATGCCCCTGCTGTTGAGATGCTATTCAATTACGAATCTGTGCTTAGTTTAACACAGTCATGTATGTCTCCGTTTTCGAAACTTCATGCATCTAGCATATTCATGTTATTAATGTTGTTTCTCTAACTTGCTTACAGAAATAAGAATATTTATTTCAGAAATGCATTACATATCCATGCTATACAGAGAAGATTGATATTTTTGCCTGCTCATTTGGCATAGCATGATCCTTTACAGAATCTTTAAGTGAAGCACTTCCAAAATTTTGATATATTTTGGTAATAACCTCCGCTGCATGTAAGGGTGGCAAGTGGATCGGTCCGGGCCCGGGACCGTTGGCCTAGTGGGCTAAGTGGGCCGGGACCGGTAGGACCACTAGAGGTGGGCTTGGGCCGGTTCTTGCCTTTGAACCGTTAGGACCGGGTAAATGAAAATAGCCAACGGTTATTTTTTAAAGCCCAACGGCTGTTTTTTAAAATAGCCAAACGGTAATTTTTTTTTTTAAAAAAGTAGCCGTTTGGCTATTTTAAAAAACAGCCGTTGGGCTTTAAAAAATAACCGTTGGCTATTTTCATTTAACCCCAAACTTTTTATAATTACATCTTTTCCTTATTTTCAACTATAAATACCCCCTCATTCTTTCATTTTTCTTACAATATCAATATCAATCTATCACAATCTCATTCCATAGGGGGAGGAAGACTAAGAAAGATATTACCATATTTTTTTAATGCTATAATAAAATTACAAGGCATTGCTTTGAATATCTCTTTACAATATTTTTGTCTTTAAATTTGAATTAAAAAATTTAGGTCACAATTCTATAATAAATTTACAAGGTATTGCATTAGATATTTTTTTAACATTTTTTTGCCTCTAATTTCTATTTAAATTTTTTTTTTAAAATCAATTTTTAACCGTTGGGCCCACGGGCCTGGCCCGTTTAGCCCGGGACCATGAGTTCGTGGGCCCGGTTCCGGACCGGTTCCTACAAAAAGACCGTTTAGTCCGGGATCGTTAAGCCCATTTATTTAAGGACCGACCCGGGACCACGGCCCACTTGGCCCGCTTAGGGCCCAGACCGACCCACATGCCACCCCTAGCTGCATGTATGGAGAAACTTAAGTCTTGTGGTTCTTAACAATTTAGGCTACTATCTCAGAAGTTAAGAAGCTCTTTATCACAGAATTGGTGTCGTTCATCCTTGGTAGCAAAAATGTGTTTGTCCTTGTTTGCCTGATTTAGAAAAGTTAGGATTCAGGCGAATAATTGTCTGAAGTGTATGCTGTAGGTCTGACCTACTACAACTTTGTAGCTACAAATTCAATTTGGTGTACGTGGGGCAGTTATGAATGACTATGCCATTGAGTATGATTTGAACTAACTCCAAAGCGAAGGTGGGAAATGAGGAAATTTTATCATCCATGTTATGTGTTATCCAGATGTCTTTCTTATGGTGCTTACTCTATATTTCATCATATGCTTATGCAATGTGGATTTGCAGCGTTTGACGAAGTTCCTCTGCACATTCTCCATCGGGTTCCTGCCCAGCTTCAAGGTAGTGTATTTTCCAGAACTAATACAATGTGCTTCTCAGAATCACAGGCTCACCAGTATCATGCAACATCCTCGGTATCAAAGAAATTTACCCCTGCTCTGATTGAAGTGGTCGATGATTTACTTGTTTTGTCGAATGGTCACATATATCCACTCTACAAGAAACAAAAGGGAGTGTTTTCTTGGATACAAGAATTTTTAAGTGTTTGCAGCAAAATGTCTTTTTATGATGTTTTCAACTTATATCGGCTGTTCCCCCACCCCCTCTGTGTGTGTGTGTGTGAGTGTCCGCGCATGAGAGAGATATATGGGAGCTTGGTTGAAGCTGGTGTTGTGGCTATATACTAAACCATATGCTGTTTATCTTTGCAGGTTCGATGTGCCTTTTCAGATTTGCTCTTTGTTGTTCATGATGACTTAACTAGACAGACTTTACAGGCATACTTTGTAATTGGTAGGTAACATGCCCAGTATAATCCCACAAGTAGGGTCTGGGGAGGGTAGTGTGCACGCAGACCTTACCCCTACCTGGCGAGGTAGAGGCTGTTTCCAATAGACTCTCGGCTCTAGAAAAGATGAAAAGAGAGAGAAGGGAAGAAGACGAAGAAGAAAGAAAGAAAGAATAGGGAGGCAAGGATGATAAGAAAAAGGAAAAATAAAACACAACACAAACAATAAGTAAAAGAAAAAGTAGCATCAAATATAAACAAACCGGAAAATATGAAACACGGAGCGAACGAAACAATAGGCAAATACAAGAGGTCAAAGAATACGAAAAAAAAACAAGAGCGCTACTAATACTACTAGAAAAAAACGGGGAACTCCGACTACAAATAATTTCACTTAGAATTGAAGCTTAAATTATTATCACTAAGAGCTGCTTGGTATAAATTTTACTATTTGTACGTGTAACAAGTAGCACTCTATTGGTCCTCAAGGTAGTGATCACTTTAGTGGTTCGATTATCAAGCTACTTTCTGGAATAAAGAATTTCTATTTCTAGTTTCGAAAGAAATATATGCATTGGGAATTTGGGCATATTGATGATCCCTATCACATGTTTTTATTTGGATGTTTTGCCTTGCTAAATTAGCCAATATAACTACCTTTAAATTTTCTGGAGTAATTGATGAGACCGTGGCGTCCCTAAAATCACCTTTTGGAAGACAAATTAACGATGCCAGAACGGGAAAATAATAAAAAATATGTTTGTACTTAATTGAATGCTAAATAAACAATTATTTGCCGAGGACCTAGCAACCAACTACAAAAAATGGGCAAAAAGTAAAATAAAAAGCGTCAAACTCGTAAAATAAATATGACAAATATAAAAGAACAAACTGAAATTATACGAAAAAAGTGGAGAACTTAAAGCTAGTTTCATGCTGCATCAAGTACTTTACTGTATCAATACAATGTCAAATATATTTTAAAGCTAGTAGTGTGAAAAGGGAAAAAAAAAATACTAATATATTTGTAATCTTTCAGTAAATTAAAGAAACATATTTTTAACTTGAAATTCGGCAACTACATCATATTTCCTCTTTCAATATCCTTTTTACACAATTTGCTTTTAAATAACTATTGGTCGTGCATTAAAAATTACTAAAATTTGTTCAAAGTGATGAATAATAATATCTAAGTCGTCAGAGTTTTCTTAATTTTGATAATCTTAATTGACACTGGTGCATTTTTCTCCCTTTGTTTTGTTTTTAGCTCTATTTCCTCATTGGCGGTCTCTCTCTCTCTTCTTTATTTATTATTATCCAGAAGTATAAATATTAAACCAAAATAGCAGAAAGTTTTGAGTGCTCGTTCTTTTTCCTATAGTGCTTTTCAGCATCCAATTTTCGAGTCAAAAGAAAATATTGTAAAAAGAGCAAAAAATAATGTCGCCCACCGTGGGGCTCGAACCCACGACCACAAGGTTAAGAGCCTTGCGCTCTACCGACTGAGCTAGACGGGCCTAGTTTCACCTTAGGAGCATATAGATAAATTAATGAAACGTTTTTAATTAAGATGATTCGAGTTTAACTAGTGAATAGTCTGTAGTATACCTAGAAGAAAAACTTCACGACTTATTCTCGAAATTTAGTGTAGTTTATCCATCTTATAAAAGTTTGTCTTTTTCTTTAATTGGGAAAGTTCAAAAACACTTTCACTTAGAAACATCAGTGGAATAGACTGCATTACATCCGAATTTTCCTAGGTCATTTGTCACTTTGTTTGCTTCCCTGATGCTGATTTTAGGGATGTGACAAATATGACTAAGCACTTAAGTGGGTTAAAATTCGTCAAGACAATAAACAAATATTGATTCCAATCTACTTAAAGATGGTTTCGATCAAAATAGTTAAGTTCTTAAGTTCTAGATTGAGGAGTTGATAAAAAATACTCTCTTACGAGTTGATTTGCAATAGCAATATAGTAGTACACGTTGTAAATTGTCTTTCCACACAACACATTTTTAAAGTAAAACGGGTAAATTATCTTGTTGTTTATGCTTAACGCACATAAAATTCTTGGGATTTATATTGTAATGTCTAATTTTATTTTATCTTTTCAAGTCACTTAATGCATACACGGTTTAAAGAAAATAAATACGTAAATAAAAGTTTTAAAACTGGATTGCAGTTTGCAACTTCAATCTTAATACTAAAAAGCACGTGACTTTAGAATTTTATTCCTTGTAGTTTAATATAATTACAACCAGCCGTGAAAATAGCGCGGGATAACCAGTTTTCAGACTGGTAATTGAAAAATAGTCAGCGTTTGCAAAGTCATTGAAAAATAGCTACTATTTTGCTGCAACACGGAAAGTTCCAGCATAATACACTGGAGATTGGTGCGTCTGTGTATGAACTTCCAGCATATTATGCTAGAATTCCAACACACGAAGTTCCAGCATAATATACTGAAAATTGGAGCACCTGTGTATTAACTTTCAGCATATTATGTTGGACTAGTATATTATACTGGAACTCCAATATATTATGCTGGAATATTTTCCGAATTTTGAACAGTGTTTTCGTTCATATTTATCTTTACATGAAAAGTGGCTAAATTTCAATTACTTTTGAAACTGTGGCTATTTTTCAATTACCACTTGTAAATCTGGCTATTTTTGAATTTCACCCGCTCTGGCCTCCTGACGCCGGATTCAACTGAACCCATAATTTTTTATGCTAAGAACAAAATTTTGGGTAAAAATCCATTAAAATTGCAACAAAAAAGTAGATATAAACCTATAATTTTAAAAAATACAATGTGTTCAATGATAAGAACCTTAAAAAGTAAATTTATAGAGTTTAAATCCTGAATTTATTGAATTTATTGAGTGTAATCTTTTTGTACTATATTCGTCATACTCAGTCCTTGAATGTACTGCACTTGTACAAAACTGAAATGTAAATAGTAAGTACTTGGCAATTTCTTACTACGCCCTAAATAACAGGGGTACGTAGTAGATATATTTAACAGCAAATGGCCAAATATACTCCTCTACTTTCGAAAATGGTCTAAGAATACTTCTCGTTATACTATTGAATTACTTATACCCCTGCAGTCATACTTTGGGTTCAAATATACCCCTCATTTAAACGGAGAGACACGTGTCATTGTCCTGTTGGTCAATTCTAAATATCTCCTAATTAATTAAAACGACCCATTACCCATACCCGAAAAATAATTTTTTTTGTAAAAACTGGAAAAAACTAAAAACATTTTTTTACTAAAAACTGAAAAAACGAAAATATATATTTTTTTTCCAGTTTTTACAAAAAAATTGCTTTAAAAAAACTGAAAAATAATTTTCTAAAGCAATTAAAAATTGAAAAAAACGGAAATATTTTTAACTAAAAACTGGAATTTTTTTATTTTGTTTTTTCAGTTTTTACAAAAACATTAGTTTAGAAAATTGCTTTTTAGTTTTTTTTTAGTTTTTACAAAAATATTATTTTAGAAAATATTTTTCACCTTTTGTTAAAGCAGTTTTTTTTATAAAAACTGGAAAAAAAAATATTTTCGTTTTTTTCAGTTTTTAGTAAAAAAATAAATTCAGTTTTTTTCAGGTTTTACAAAAAAAATTGCTTTAGAAAATTTATTTTTTGCTTTTTTTTTTAGTTTTTACAAAAATATTGTTTTAGAAAATATTTTTCAGTTTTTTCTAAAGCAGTTTTTTTGTAAAAACTGAAAAAAAATATTTTCGTGTTTTTCAGTTTTTTCCTGTTTTTACAAAAAAAAAATTGCTTTAAAAAATTATTTTTCGGGTATGGGTAATGAGTCTTTAATTAATTAGGAGATATTTAGAATTGATCAACAAGACGATGACACGTGTCCCTCCATTTAAATGAGAGGTATTTTTGAACCTAAAGTATGACTGCAGGGGTATAGATAACCCAATAGTATAACGAGATGTATTCTTAGATGATTTTCGAAAGTAGAGGAGTATATTTGGCCATTTACCGTATATTTAATCCCATCAAATGTACTTCCTTGTACTATACACAGAGTTGACTTGACATATACTATTGGTGATGTATCTTCGGAATTTTGATATACTAGTACTAACTAGTACTGTACTAGTAATATATAACCTCTTCCTCTTGTTGCTCTTTCATTCAGGACTAGGTTTTCCTATCTCAATTTATCTTAATTCAATATTCTCTACGATCTCTCCCCATTCGCAGTGTTTCTCAATTTATGTCTAATTCATTTTTTTCTTTTTTGTTTACTTAACTGTTTGTACTAATTTTTAAATTATTTGTTTCTCTTTTCTACAAATAATTTCATAAAATTTACTTTGGAGTATTCTTTAAAGGTTATATATTTTCAGAAAGCATTAAAATTGGGTAGGTTGTAGTTATTGTCTTTGGCAAAATCAAAAGTTGCACATACGTACGCAACCCAAATCTTTTGGGTAAGTAGCAATAGTTTTCGGTTCCAAAAGGAAACCTATTCTTCGTTTCACACTGGTAATTACAGCAGTCTTGACAGTAGCGCGGCAATGGCGAGGAATACCGCAAATGAAAAAGAATGTCCCATTTGTAAGAGTTACTTTGTTGTCTCCTGAACTACGTGTTTTCCGACATGGTGTAACTAAACTCTCCATGCCATAAAACTAAAAAGGGAAAAATAAAGATTGACATAAACCTAAACATAATTTGTGATGGTCCACAAACCAATTGAACAATTCCAGAGTTTAAGTACCCTGATACTTTGAGTACTGTTGCCGCAGGCGGAAAAATACTAAAGAATGATCACTTTTTTTATTGAAAACAATTTACCTTTATTCAATGATTTATAACCACACAAAATATATGTGCATTATTTTACACCACAAGTTCAAAAGTCTTTTCTCTTTTCTTAAATTTCGTGCCCAGTCAAATGGGTTCACATCAATTGAAAATGAGGGAGTAGTAATTCTGACAAATGGAATAATAAAGGAAATAATACAACATAACACCTTACAATTTGAATTAAAGAAAATAACTCTACAAAGATCTCTTATGTTATATTTTTAGAGTTCTTACATGTAAAAATAAAAATCTCTTAGGAAATTTGACATAAAACTATTTTTTGTGGGGGTCATAAAATTCCTATTGTGACGGTTCAGGGTCCCTCCCACCAGTTTGCCTGCCCATAGGTCTATCGCAATGGTTAGACAACCGTTGCCATAGAGAGTGTATCTCAGCGGTTTCAAACCGTTGCCATAGATCTAAGTACTACACCGATTATTTATTCAAGTGGAACAGTTCAAAACTGTTGCAATAGCATTTTATGCAATGATTATTTGTGGCTATTGTAATGGTTTGGATACATAATCGCAACGGTTATGAATAGCTATTGCCACATTTATTTAGTGCTAGTGCAACGGTTTCTTTAAGATTATTGCAACAATTTATGGAACCTGTGGCAACGGTATAATAAAGCAACGATGAATTGATTACCTATATAATCAAACACATTACACTGGATTTTATATAAATCACCAAAGGAAACTAGCAACAAAATCATATCCCAAAATATCCAACTAATATTATCCACATATAAATGCAAAACATACTATATTGTTTAACAATTTAAGAGTTAGTGTACATAAGTTTGGGAAAAAAGTTATAAATAATAGAACAGTTACTTTGTGGGGGATTTTTGGTCAAATTGTGACAGTTTTTGACTCCCACAAAAAGAATTGTGGCGGTTTCTAGAAGTGCCGCAGTTACCTTTGCTACAAGCATTATTGCGCCGGGTTTTTAAAACCTCCATGCCAACCGCCACAAAATAAATTTTTAATTTGTGGGGGTTTGAAAGATATATAATGCTAGTTTAAAAAAACCCCCGCAATATGATTTCGATGTGCCAAAGAAAAAATATTGCGAGGGTTTATAAACCCCCTCAATATGATCATAATGGTTCAAAAAAGATATTGTGGGGGTTTAAAAACCCCTAAAATATGATTTAAATATTTTTTTAAGAAAAAGTTATGAAGGGGTTTTGAAAGATAATTAGTGCTAGTTTAAAACCCCCGCAATATGATTTCGATGTGTCAAAAAAAATAATACTGCGAGGGTTTATAAACCCCTCAATATGATCATAATGGTTTAAAAAATATATTGTGGGGGTTTATAAACCCCCAAAATATGATTAAAATATTTTTTTTTTAAACATTTATGTGGGGGTTTATAACCGCTACAATATAATATTAGTGTTTAAAAAAATAGTGGCATTTTATTTCTGTCACAATATTTTGTTGTTGAAAACTCTTTTTCTATTTGAATATTTTTATTTGTAGGATTAAAGAAATAATTTTACCAAATAACTTACAACATAAATCAAATTTCATAAAATTTAACCATAGTGACAAGTATTACAAATTCAAATCCTCATGGAACTAAATAAATTTTTATCATGCGCAATGATATATGATATGATCACCAACCAGTTAGGATAGTAAAAATATATCCATTAAAAGATTGAGCTTTACTAATTTCATTCGCAATATAATGGAGTACTTTTTTCTAGCTAAGTCTCTACAAACTCTGCCAAAATAACATTATCATGCAAGGGCTAAACTTTCTATGGGCAACTAATTCTTGGCAAGTGCATGGTAAGGATACAAAAAGAAATTGATAGGTTGCTGTGAAAACCTGAACTTGATTGGGACAGTGAGTTCTGATTGTTCTTGTAATAATCAGTAATGAAATTCACCATCTTGTGACCATACTCTGTTTATTGCTCTGCATCCATGGGATTCAATTCACCCTCCCTAAACCTACCAAACAAGAAAAACCAAATAATATATGCCTTATCCCATTTTGAGTGACTATTTTATAGAATGTTATGCCAACTAGCTAATGACTATTTTAAAGTTATTTATTGCTTTGGAAGAACACATTTGGGAATACCTTGAAAGCAATTAGTGTCAGCAGTCATTAGCAATACTAGAGCATATTCTCCCTACACTTGCATGAGTCACGAAACAAGATCTAGTTATTCAGTCAAAAATACATCAGATTTCTTTTAATACTAGTAACCCTATAGAGATGAATTCTACAACTCGAATGTAAAGAATTAACCAAACATACATGAAATAGGAAGATACAGATAAGTAAGAATAAACACATATACCTCGTGCCAATAGGAGCATTCTTCATCTTGTGCCAAACATAGAGATATTTTGCACACAATTTTACAAGGTTGATTGGTAAGTACATAATTACCAAACATCGGAAAATATTCTATATGTAGAATAATAGGACTACTGGCCTGTAACTGTTATAAGCCAAAGCAGAAGAGCTGGTGCTGTATAATTTGGCTTAAAATTCTGTAATCTCACATTAAAGAGAAGCATGGATAAGATCAACCTACTCAATAGCAACATTTAGGTCTTGAAGAATGAACATAGGACAAAAATATTAGACCTACAAATGCGACGGCAAATTTCCCAGACAATGTCCCCCTTCTCATTGCACCACCTTTGTACACATTCGCGATGGGCATACTGTGCATAGAAAAAATTCATTAAGAACAAAATATCACTAAATGCAAGCATCAAAGACACACCTTGCTTAATTAGCAACAGTAACATTTTGGCTAATCTGATGAAATCCACGATGTTATTCCAGCTACATTTAGGACAGTAATCATGAAAAATTCATTACACCAGAATACCTAAAAAGCTTTTGCCTCACAGATGTAGCATATCTTCATTGCAAAGGTCTAATGGTTGCATAAAGCTTATTATAGGCACTACTGATGTCAAATCAAACTCTATGCAACATAAAACCCTTCATTGAGACTTGAGGGCACAAGTTTCTGTTCTTTATTTGAAAACACTAGGTAATACGAGAGTATAAAAGGAAAAAATCAACAAGAGCAATTGGAATCTAAACTCTGAAGATTTACAAATCTCTAGTAGAACGCGCAATTTACCGAGAGCTGCACCTAAACCTAATGCATTAGTAGGTAAAAGAATTCCAAATATAAAAACTCCTAATTACAAATTTCAAAATTAACACATTTTTAGAGTGTTGTATTTGTGATCCATATGTGCTACTTTTAGAATGAATATACCCCTACTGTGAGAACAGCGAGCAGAGTTTCTGCTATGTAACAGATGAGACATATGTAACAAATGAGTAAAACGGTAGCTTAATAAACCTTGAGGGTTCCACGGCAAGAGCAGGGAATCTCCATGTTTGAATCTTCATCACTATCATGGCAAATCCTGCATTCTTTCATCTTCCTTGATGTAGGCTCTAGGAAAGAAATCTGTCTCAAATTCAAAAGAAATTCAATATGGAATAATCAAGAAAAGAGCATTCTTACATTCCCCATAAAGTATCTCAATCCAAAAACAGAGCAACAACTCAAATTTAAAACTACTTCAAGGACAAAAGCAGGTGCACAATAACATTGCACTGGTGGAAACTAAGAAGAATCAGAGTAAAGATCCACCACAACCTTCAAGAATAATGCCTAGGAGGGCAGCTTCTCTATCTAAATGATGATGATCAAAACATTAATATGGAACATAAGGTCTGTGAATACACAACAGGCCTTTCCTAGAGTGATCAATATGAATAGGGAGCATAATTTTTGTGTAGTTGCATTGATGGAGCCTTTTCAAAAGAAGGAACTCATTGATAGATGAGGTTGAATATGGAGACTGCTTATGCAAATATTAATGGGCAAATATGGTTGTTTTTCGATGCAGTGGTGGAATGGGAATTAGTGGAGGATACTGAGCAACAGGTGACTGTGAGAGTGTTTCACCATGACCTGGGGCAACACATGATGATGACATTTGTTTATGCAAAATATTCAGTACTGGAGAGGTTGGATTTGTGGGATCACTTGTATTATTTAGCAAGTGATATGGAATTACCATGGTTGGTAGGAGGGGGTTTCAATGTGATATTGCATGAAGATGAGAAAATAAGGGGACTTCCAGTACACCTTCCTAAATATGAGGATTTTGCATTTTGTGTAAACTCTTGTGGTTTGTTTGAGCAAAGGTACAAAGGAAGTCCATTCACATGGTGGAATGGGAGATCCAATGCTGAGTGTATATTCGAGAGATTGGATAGGATTTTTGTGAATTTGCCATTTTAGAACATGTTGCCAACTATTGAAGTTGAGCATCTAATCAGAACTGGATCAGATCATGCACCATTGCTAATGACATGTGGGGTGCAGACAACCAATTTTGTCAAGCCTTTCAGATTATTGAACTTTTGGACAAAGAATGCTACATTTATGGATGTGGTGAGGCAGAATTGGGAAGCTGATTTCATAGGGGATCAGTTTTTGATGTTCAAGCAGAATATCAAGAGGGATAAGACAGCACTCTCAAAATGGAGTAGGGAAACATTTGGTGATATCTTCAAGCAATTGGCTATTTTGGAGGACATTGTTAGGGTAAAGGAGATGTTGTTTGAAGAAGAGCCTACAACTGAGAATAGGATTGTGCTTCAAAAGGCTCAATCTGAATTGAAGAAATACTTGAGTATTGAGGAGCAGTATTGGAAGCAAAAAGCTGGGATGACTTGGTTTGCTGAAGGAGATAGGAATACAAGTTTATTTCACAATCATGTCAATGGAAAAAGAAAGAAATTGCAACTGAAGAGGATCAAAAATGGCAGTGGGGTATGGATTGAAGACTAGGAGCAATTGGCTACAGCTGCAGTAGACTTCTATCAAAAACAGTTCACAAATGAAGGTGATGCTTCTGAATTTTCCTTGCTCAATAATGTACCTTCAATGGTCACTATGGATCAGAATTTGGAACTTAGCAGATTGCCAACAATTGAAGAAGTAAGGACAACAGTTTTTGAGCTTAGTGGGGAGAGTGTTAGTGGCCCTGATGGACTCACTAGCTTGTTTTATCAAACATGCTGGGATGTTATTGGTGCTGATATACACAACATGGTGCTACACTTCTATGGAGGGGCTGCATTGCCTAAATCCATCACTCACACCAATCTAGTATTGCTGCCCAAGAAACCTAGAGTTGAGACCTTCTCTGACTTAAGACCTATTAGTTTGAGCAACTTCATTAACAAGGTTTTGTCTAGGGTGTTACATGACATATTGGAGAGTGTTTTGCCATCACTAATAGCTCTTAATCAATCCGGATTTGTAAAGGATAGGAATATATTTGAGAACATCTTATTGACTCAAGAAATTGTCACTAACATAAGGTTAAGGGGAAAGCCAGCTAATATGGTGATCAAGCTTGATATGGCTAAGGCCTATGATAGGGTTTCATGGAAGTACTTATTGCATGTGCTAAGGAAGATG